TGTGGTAACGAACAGTGGTTGGGGGGGGGGGGGGGGGGATGAGGGAGGGGTAGAGCGAGGCAGAGATGAGAGTAAAGGAAAAGGCGAGGAGGATAGTGGGTGTTCTGTGAGCCCCGGATAGAGGCACAGTGTTTCATCTGCCTCCAAGACACCAGGGGTTGGTTCACATACACACACACGTACACAGAGGGACACTGATCAAAGGCTGACGCCACAGAAAAGACTGCCTCCTTTTCTCTTTATCTCTCTCTCCTCTCCCAAAAACACAGGCCGCACACAACACACACATGTAAGCGCGCAAAGACACGGGGATCAAGCGAGTACGTACTGTAAAGCACCCCTCAGAAACGCTCCACAGACTCCAAAGTGTGCACGCACCTCTTCGGGAATTGTGAGCACATGCACGGCTAACTGTGGTGCATCTATCCTGCACAAGTTTGTTGTTTGTGCGCAGCTATTTCTGTCATTATGATCTGTGCGTACAGGTGACAAACAGCACTCACAAACTACATGCCGCACAAAGCCAATGTTAGAGGGTGACACGGGTGCCAGGCAGCAGAGTAATTATTGTTCATCAGGTGTGTGTGTGCGTGTCGCTCAGAGAAATGAACAGATGTGGTGGCTCGAAGCATCTGAATAATGTATAGGACACACAATTTCAATATGTGGCCGCGCACACCCACACACGCGCACCGCTGCCTGCTTCTTTCCGAGGTGATGAAAGCCACCTGTGTGCTGGATAGACTGCACATCCCCAAACTGTTTCTAAGTGCATAATTCCAATTACAGCACCCCATATTTTATGCCACCATCGCCGAAGCTGGAGCGCGCGATCATCCCGCCGCCACGTTAAACGTTTTGCGATTTTTCAAAGGGTCACGCTGAGTGATGCAAGGAGAGGAGGAACGATTTGGAAGCAGGAGAAAAGGGGAAATGAGAGCGATTCCCCTCATTTTCTTCGACAGGCTTAAAAAGGAACTTTTTTTTTTTTTAATCCTCCCACAAACACCACTTTGGCTTAGACACAGTGATTGGCTAAGGGTGATTCGCTCCGCTCTTCTCTCTACTTCCCTTTTGTGCTGGCTCTCTATCTAAAGTTGTTATTGCTATTGCCAGCCTGTGACAACCAAATTATCTGTGAAATTATTCAGATTTTATGCCCTCTTACTGGGCAGGACCCCTGTATATGTGAGTGTGTGTGTGCTGAGATGTGTTTGATGCCAGTCCTGAGCAGAACAACACACCAAATGAGAGGGTTACCTGCTTAACATTAGAAGCAGGGAGTTCAATTCGCGGCCTTCCTAACGCTTTATTTTGTATTTATCCTCTCCTTCTTATCGCCCAAATCCTCCTTTTCTGTAACAGTCACGTTTGATTGTTGAGAAAACAAACAGCGGCGTGTTAATGGTGATGTAAAATAAAACAGCGGCCTCTCGTTTTTAAGTTATAAAGCTTTGAATCAATCAAACCCTATTTTGTCACGCTGCCAATCAATGCTACTATATTCAGTAATTACCTCTCTGCCGGAGTCTGCGGTTTCTGGGCTGGAGTCGAAAAACCACTGATGCATGAGGGCTCACAAAAATCACTGTATGCATGGATCGATCGGGCCCAGCATTACACCCGTCTGATACCGTGTAGGTCCATCAACACAGCTCTGATTCAACAGGGCGAAAAACGGGACCTGTGGGGTTGTCCGGTGATGTCGGGCACGAGGGGAAAAGCAACTGATCCTGATGCTTCCCAGCAGAACATCACATCGTTATCATTCATTTTAACTCTTCATCTCTTAACAAAAATCCACGCAGAAGGACACTAGTGGCTGTGAGGTGACCCAAGACGGAAAGTCAATGAAATTCAGCAACTTGTAGCAATAACGGGTAAAATAACTGCAGCCGTGTGAAGTGGGGAGATTTATATCAAGCTATTTTACCAGCAGGAATGAAAGCCATCATTGCTTGACATATGACAGGATATATCAGGGGGTTACCAAAGTAGTGTGTGAAAAACTTTACATGTTAACAGGTTTTAGTTGTTTCAGTTGCTGATTGGTTTATGATCCGGCTTTACTGATAGTTTACTGTCACTGGCATCGGCCTCAGTGTGGAACCTTTTAACACAGATCTGTACTGAG